TTTAGACCTACTGTTTTAAAAAGTTACTAAAATATTTAAAAAATTTAAATAAATTCTTAATTTCTCTAATCTCTATAGTTTTATTTCAGATGATATAGACTTATAATTAATGGTTAATTAACTACAATTCGTTAAAACACCACTTGTTGTTTAATGCTTACACGATGCTTGTATGAAGAGTGAAACTGTTACATAATTATATTATCATGCTATATCAACATGTTTCGTCACTTTTTAATATGACATGTTAACATATCATATCAACATCATGTGATATAAAACGATAAATGATGATCTTATTAATAAGAGTTAATCAACTGTTAATTATAAAAATTTATATGACTAAAAAAAAAATATAAATGCTCGATTAAATGTAAATTAAAAAAATAAAAACTTATTTTAGGGAAACATTGCCAGTATGACAGAACCAGGAAAATTAATGAAAGAAAAACTAAGTTAAACCCTAGAATTGGTCCCTAAATTATCTTGCAATAAAGAACAATTAATAAGTCTACAACTTCAAAGCATTAGAATTATTCACTTGGGCACCTAATTATTATTTTCTAAATTCAAGACTTTCAAATAAAACATATACATTTTACTATATTAAAATTTAAAATTTTTATTCAAATCTCACCCAGTGTACAAACTCTAATTACATGAAATTATCTTTCTATTAAAAACTATTTGAAATATAAAAAATAATTAAATAAACTAAGGAGGGCAAGATGGGAATTTTATTCATTGATGAAAACAACTAATGTTAGAAATTACATGCCATCATTTTGTTAAAGGGAAGACATCTAAATTTTATAAACTATGTATTGTTAATTATTTATTTAGTAGAAAATATCTATGGATAATTCTTTTTTTATTTTAAGAAAAGATGACTAATCAAACTTGACTTTTCAAGCAAGGAATACTGAAAAACCTTATTTGCCCGTCTAATTTTAAACTAACCTAATTTGATAAAAAAATTAATGACCTAATTTTATTTAATTCAAACTCAAAAATAATTTGAATTTGAATGGATTGAATTATATGAAAAATAAATTAAAATAATTTAAATCTGAATAATTTATCTAAATTTAATTTAATTTTTTAAAAAATTAATAATTTATATATGAAATAACTCAAACTCAGAATAACCTTAACAAAAAAAATCTTAAATTAACTTAAAATGATCCGTCTGGACTTGACCCATCCCGTTATAAAAGGAGATACTCATCTTCCACATTAAAGAATCGGGGACAAAGAGCATATCCTTGTCATACACTCGTGTCAATGTCATTGGCTTAACCTTTCATCAAATGATACATTTACTCTTAATTTCATTACATAATATCTAAACAAAAGTTTTTTAATTATTTAAAAAAATTGAATAAGTATTTATATGTTTATTGTCTTCAACCAAATATTTATATTTATATTTTTAATTGAATAAATTTTTATATTTTTATTTTAAGTTAAATAAAATTTTATGATTAACCATTGACTTTTTTAAAATTTCATTTATCATTTTATGTCACATGACACTGACATTACATATTAAGATGTCATAATTGATAATAATATAATATATTGATATATCATAATAGATGATGACATCAAATATTTATTTAGCATGATAATATAAGCATGTGACATTTCTCACTCTTTACATCAAAATCATGCCAGTGTTATGTAGTTATAAAATAATAAATAATATTTTAATTAATAATAATTAATTAATCATTAATAATAATCATAAGAGTTTATTTAATCAAAATAAAAAATAAAAAAAAATACATATTTAAAATTTTAAAATAATTTAATAATTTTTTTTAAAAAATAAAATTTTTATTAATTTCTAATCATTCTTGGAAAGCACACTCCTAACAAGTCATTGAACAACATAGAACTGATTTTTGGGGGAGGTACATCATAAAAACGAAAACTATTATCTAAATTAAATCCAATGTTGGCCATGCCATCTGCTATCATATTCCGTTCTTGATAAATATAAGAAATCTTTACCTCCCAATCGAGTTGCAGTAAGTTACGAATAGTGTCCAGTAAGTCAGAATTCACACATGGATGTGATGCATCGATGGTAATTGCCTGAACCACGATTTTATCATCCACCTGTAGCCATACCCTACGAATCCTTTATCCCTTGCTATATGAAGACTATATAAGACTCTCCATAATTCGACCCTATAGGAAGAACACCTCCCCAACTTTGCAGCAAAGCTACCTAACCAATATCCGTTACAATCACGCAAAACACCACATGCAGCAACCAAGTTAGTACTGCGACGTAATATGCCATCTGAGTTTACTGCCACCCAACAGAGCGGACGGTTTCACCATCCTACTAGCATTTCTCTTTTAAATTTAACGGTTTTTTTATAGCATTATGTCTTTTAATTTATAAAATTTGGAGCATATAAATTGTGTTGTTTTAGTATAACATAGAAGGAAAGAATTATACCTTGCACTGAATAATATTAAAATAAATTATTGATAATAGTATATGAATTCGAAGTCATTTATATCAACACGAAAACCATATAGCTTATATATTGAGCCAAGATGTTGTTGGTGGAGTACTGTGAATTGAGGTAACAAAATTTCAAGCAGCAGCTTTAAATTCCAACCCTCCAACTCTAAATAACATTTAAAGAGCTATGCTTGAATTTTCTAATTTTCCTGAAATTGTGCCTAAAAGGGAAGAGTAGATTCAATTTTTTAGTAATAATTAATCTCATTTTAACAATCAAAGGCTTGGCACACTAATTATTACCTCTTCTTAGGACATTTATTCAAGGTCTGAACCTTCTTCCTTTCTTGAACCTCCTGGTATGTGCTAGCAGAGTTACAGATATTTGGATGAAATAGTTAAAGAAATAGGTTAAAGAATCAATAAATAATACATTCGTGTCAAATTTATATTGAAAGAGGCATATAATTGAGACATTGAGAAACAAAAAAATATAATATCTAAATAAGTTCATGAATTATTAAATAAATAACTATTTTTTATTATATTGAATCAAATTTTTATATTTATATTTTGAATCAAATAAATTTTATGACTAACATTTGACTAAATTTTATTAATCAAATACTACTTATTATTTCATGTCATATGAATTGATATAAAATGTTGATATATTATAGTAGATGGTAATCGCGTAATTTACTTACCTTCCACGTAACGCCTAATAGAATGAATTCCTCACGTATATACGAGGAAAAGAGAGAATGATATTTTTTAAAAGGAGAAGATAAATAAAAAATATTTTATCCGCAAATCAACATATATATATTTTTTGTTAAATCATAAAATAATTTTTATTTTATAAAAAATTTTTCTTTACAAAAAAAAAAGAAAAATTTTTGCGAATAAACTTTTCAATATTATAAAAGGTTCTCCACCCTCTTGGTGGGTAACGAGGTGAGATCCCTTTAATTGTATGAGTGAGATTAGATTACCAAAGACTGCTCTCAAGTTTGTGTGCAATGGTACAAAAAGAAAAATCAATGTCATCTCGTTTATTTTTAATTACAAAGCTTTAATTGGAAAAGTCGTATGGTTCCACACAAAGGGGCAAAGAGAGGAGAGTGTGTGAAGAACAAAGTGGTAGACTTTTAGTAATGAAGTGACAAAATGCCCAACTAAATCATTTAATTTATCAGTGAAGTATTCAGCTTACATTAAATAATTTTCAAGGAGTAGTTGATTAGTTTTTATATATATATATATATATAAGTTTGGATAGAAATCCTCAATTCAATCTAATAGGTTTTTCCATTTATAAATTGACAGTATCAATTATAACATGTCATGCTCAAGTTTAATGTCTCCAATCCTTTTCATGAAATGGTCTGGTTTTGTCACAGAAATCTTCCCAATTCAATGTTTAATACCCCACCCATGATCAATTAAAGGGACACAAGAGAAAAAGAAACTCTGCCCCATTTCTCATTGAAGATAGCAACCAATTTCAATGCCCAAATTTCCAACCCCCATATTGCATTGAATAAATAATGTAGTTATGAGTCTCACAGGCTTTCGAAGTTCAGAATTTGGTATCAAATTGCTAAGCTCGAGGAGAATTTCCAAATCCGAATTTGGCTTGGTTGCAAGAAGATTCTGTCAATTTTGTAAGACAGATTGGTTATTAGGATCCATTGTTTTCCTAGCATGTTCAAAACTTGGTTGGTGGTTGAAACTTGGGAGTCAGGCACAGGTAAAACAACATCCCCTAAACCCCATCCCTCCTTTGCCAGGATTCTTCCATCCACCAACATATAGACAATAAATGGGTTGGTTTATTATGCTATGGTTTATCCTAGAAAAAGCACAATCCAGATTTAGAGTTATATTGGGCTTTGGCTATAGTTGCAATTAATTTGTTTTTGGATAGGCTTTCGATGGGACAGTGCTTTGATTTCAGCTAACTGAATGCGTAGTTCCTAGTACCATCTCAAGAGTCTAGAGAATTTAATAGAGCTTGCAAGACTTTGTCTTTCACGCTTTGTCTGGAGAAAATGGTTCAGTTCTATCAACATGAAGCTTTAAACTCTGCAAGAGAACAATACCCTTATGCTCATTTCATCAGGAATATTCGGCCATCCGAATTTCTTTTTCCTCCTTCATTTGACCTTTTTCTCCCTCTTTTGGAGACATGGGAATTGATAGAACTTAACCACAGAACTGAAACTTCAGAAAAGTTGATGAATACCCAAGTTCGGCTTCATTTGGTCTCAAATATAGTGGAACCCTATGTTGCAAGCTTCTTCATCTTTTGCTGTTTCACCATCAAATTAGGCAAAGAGTACACAATTAACCATTATATATGGCTATCCATCCCACATGAAAGACCTAATAAAAGCATAGATGTCAAATGGTACTAAGAACTAAGCCCACCATCGAATCTAATAAAATTTTAAGAAACAGCAACTCCGACGTGTTACCCACCACAGCACTTTGGAGATCACCACGAAGATAAATGTCAGAAAAATAAAACATGTAGCTCACTTTTGAAACAATTCAGTGTCATTGTAAAACAAGAGTTATAACAACAAAACTTTATAATGGCAAAACTATTTTCGTTGGAGAAAATGTTCAGAATTTTAGTACACAGAATAGTTACTAACAATGTCCTAGCTCCAGAGTTGGTGTGTGTTCTAACCAAGGTAAAGTGGAATCACTGCAAGCTATAGAGCGACAGTTTGGAACTATTTGCTAATTTACCTTCAAGAATACCACAATCTTTCACTTACGTATGGAAAGATCAATGTGTAGGTAAGCTATGCAAGCAATGAAAAACAAGAAGAAAGCTGAGGCCAACATCAGAGGCTCTGCAAGCATGAATATCGGCTTGAAGGTATAATAAACCTGCCAAGAAGGGTAAATGAAAAGACATGAGATTGAAGAACATTGTGTTCCAGTAACAACAATGTACAGGTTTTATAGTATTATTCATTATAGAAAGAAGAAAAATAACACGTTCAAGATATTACAAGTGACAGACCTGATCAAATATGAAAATGAAGATTTCTTTATAGAAGGAACCACAAGGTCCACATCGCAGTGGTTAGCATACCAGGTTTGACCAAGGTTTTAAACTCAAATGGTCCAAAAACAAACACATTAAAGAGCATGAGTCTCCTACTCACAGCTCTATTTGACCAAACTAGTCCAAATCTAATAACTGAGGTTATAATTTAATAAGGACAAATAGGGCACCTTCCCAGGTTTAGCGAGCACATGTACATCAGGTAATGAATTAAACAAAGCACAAGCCACACAAGTGATTTTTTCCATCGCAGACAATCTCTAGCATATTGCTGTTATCCTAGGACTTCAGTCCATATCTTAAGATAAATTGATATAGAGTCTAAAAAGTAGCTATAAATAAAATTAAGTGGCATTCTCAATTGTATGCCTCCTCTTGTTCTACATGTTCTCCAGCAATAGTTGGCTTAATTAGGGCGGAGCAGAACAGCCTGCAGAAAGCACTTTCATATGTGTTTCAATCATTATCACTTGAAGGTTTCACTTAGCATGGTGCTCTATCCACCAATGTTTATAATATCCTAAAGAGATAGAATCACTATGGACAAAAAAAAAATTGAAACCAATGGAGCAACACATAATACAAGTAGAAGAGTTGACAAGTTACCTGGAAATGAGAATTGTGCCCAGGAACGACATTTTTCTTTTCCAAGACCACTACAGTCCTCCCCACAATGTCAAGGTAAGAATATTTGGTCTGCAAGATTCAAATTTAACAAATCTCAGTTGACACAGAAGACAAAATCTTGATGAACTACATGCATAAAAGCAAAGCATTCACATTGCAGGAGAACAGTTTTCATGCACTGCCTCAAAGCAATCCAGTAATTTTATTAAAGAAAATAATGATATCATCTGAAGTTTGGACATTGCCTCTTTGTTAATGGGCACAAAGAATGTATATGCAACACCCACCGTCTCTATACATGCACTAAATTATACGAGAAAAAGCCAGAGAAAGAGATATATTATTATACTGGGATAATTACCTCAAGATGCTGATCCACTGGGAAGGGAACAACAGCAGAAGGGTCTTTTGATCCCTCTGGTAGCACAACCTGAAGCATACATATTAGTTCCAGTCATAGTTGAATTATATTTCACCATTTAGGACAAAAGATTAAAGCAACAAATATAGAGAAATTACATTTTAATAATATGAATGCAAAATCATTACACTAAACCTACTTTGAAGGTTAATTTGTCTACCACTGTCTCAATAAGGGGGCATCCAAAGGTAAAGTTGAGGTAACGTCTGTCTTCAGATGATTCAAAAAGAAAGTCTTGCAATGGTAGCCCATAACCAACGACAAAAGTTGCTTTCCAACCTCCAAATAAAGGATATCGTGGTTCAATTTCCAGCTCTGACTGTAAAAGCATTAATTTAGTCAACATACATGAAAGCAAAAACTATGACAATGACGCATATGAAAAAGCATTAATAAAACCTTTCCTATTATGTTGACCTTTGTGTCAACTGGAAACATGATAAATGCTGCACTAAGATGTAAATGCATAATAAAAAACTGAGTACTGAGCCAGGAAAACGAAAACAACTTGCATTTTAATACACAAGATTTGATAGACTTCTTGCCATTCTAAATGCATGCTATTCTACAAGGCATCAATGGGGAAATGGAATAATGCCCCTCTTTGCAAAAAATCATGTTTCCAATTTATTTCAAATGGAAAATCACACGCCATCAAGGAGAATTACAAATACAAGGGTTTCAAACATCTCCTTGATCACACATTCAACAAACTGGAAAAAAAAAGTATTATTTTTACAACTCATAAATCACAAATTCCAAAATTCACAATGCAAGTGATTTGATTGTAAAAGACAATATTTTGCTGCTAGAAAGAGAGAGAATAGAAGAGAATCACATTCGAATACCTTCCGAGAATCTGTACGCAGGTGTGATGATGAGATGTTTCCAATTTCATCCCGGTAGTAGACAGAATGAACCCTAGGTGGTAGTCTTGCCAGAAGGTATCTGAATGAGGATACACCATTAAAAGATGGCCTTGATTGGTAATCAACCCTGCAAATGGTACACAATAGAAAATGAATATACAAATAAATCTTAAAAAATGAAAAAAAAATTATTGTTTTCTTGATGAACTTTCAAGTGCATCATAGCAGGCAGTAGCTACTGTACCTTGAAAATACACCTTTGTGTCGAGCACCGGCATGAACCAACTTGTACTGCTCTGTGACCTGAAGGTTGCCCCAATGAGATATTTCAACTTCCCGAACAAGCTCCTCAACAACAGCAAATGGGCTATTATTCTCAAAATGTACAAGAATTGGAGAAAAAGAGTATGGAGTACGATCCTCATATGGCCCATACTTTATTTCAGTGCCTGCACGGTTTGTTGGTTCCACCCTTGCAAACGATTCCACCTTAGTACTTGGTGTCTTAATAAAAGTTGTTTGTTGCTTAATATGATATGGTGACAATACCAAAGCACTGTCACGATAATATACTAACTGAGATTCTGATTGGCCTATCTCTGCTGGAAAAGGTTCTAGGGAGTGTGTTAACATATACAACACTTCTAGGGTTATGCTTTCTCCAGAATTTAAGGGATTAGCCAAATAAATAGTAAAATATTTAGTGTCATTAGGTGCATCAGGCAGTTCTGTTGGTTTTACTTCCAGACGGACAAAAGTAGTCTTCTTCCGCTTGCCTTTAGTTGCTAATGCTTCAACTGTTGCTAGATGATCAACTTGGCTGGGTGGGAAAGCAAGAACAACTTCTGAAGCAGGCGAACTGCCAGCATTCTCGACCTAAAAGAGGGCCATACATTAATATTCACATTAACATACATGCCAAAATTAGATATCTAGAGATTATGCAATTCCCCCATATTATCAATGCAAATACTTTAAAGATGCCTTGAATTTGTTCACCTGAATAAACCAATGTAAAATTATAGGCTCCATTTTTATGTTACTTTGGCTATTTAACTTTTTTGCTATTGTACATTTTGCTTCCCCAAAAATTGCTAAATGCGAAAACATAATTGATTAAAAATGAATAAATACCTAAAATACAACATACATTGAAACATAATTGTTTCATATAAAAGTAAATCATAAATTTTGCTATTCAAGAATGTTAAAGCTTTTTAGGTTTAATTCTTCCAAACTATTAGTTTCAATTTTTTATAACTAAACCCACAATGTTTTTCACTTTCAAAAGCAAAAGGTAAGTAGGAGAAGTACAACCAAACAAAGCCTCAGATAAGTTGGCAAGCACTTAATGGATCTACATGATAATTCAGGGGGCATAACAAGGATTTGAATTAAAAAATATCTGTCCATCATATAGGAAAGAAATACTAAAAATTCAAGTAAATGTGAGAACCAAGTTTTAAACTAGAATATAAAACCCCATCCTATATATATACATATATATATATATATATAAATTTGCAGCATTTGAGAAAGAAATTACCTTCAAAGTCAAGTAAACTTTAACAATGTGTGAACTCAAGTCAATCTGCATCAACCAAAAAATATATTTTTTAAAAATGAAACAAACAAGAAGCAAAAAATATGACAAAATCCAAATAAATAAGATAGAAAAAACCAAAATCAATCAAAATACTGAGATCAAGCATAAATATTACAAATTTTTACAATTGAAGCTTATAAAGTATATAAATAATAAATACTCCTACTTGGAATTAATTCCTATACCAAAAAGACTAAAATTAAGGAATCACATATCATAATTTCGACAATTTCGAATAGATGTAAGATTAAAGAAAATGAAAAAAAGTTAAAAAAACAAAGATTTGGCGCTTACTCTACGCTCGGCGTTGGAGATTAGGAGGTCATGTAGAGCAGAGGATCTGGAGAGGAAGAATAGAAGAGATAAGAGTGTGAGAGCTAGGGCTTCTCTAGCTCTGATCGGACCCTCCATTGCAGTTGACGAGAGAGTGCAAAGACTGGCTATTTGCCAAGGTCGAGGACTGAGGAGACAAAGAAGGGGAGAGAGCAACAGAGAGAGAGATGGTTGGTCGGGTCCGGTCAACTCTTTTGGGCTTTGCAACTATTGGGCTAACTTTTTTTTTTTTATCTTTTGGGCTCTAATAAATTTTTTAAATCAATTTATAACTACGATTATGCCACTTAAAAATTTCACGATAATTTTAAAAAACTCGATTTATAAGATTATTATTTATCCAATAATTATAGTCTGACATAATTAATTTATAATTTACTGAGAAATTCTATTTGGATTTTGGATTACACGGTCACATAATTTTTTTTTTAGTTTTATTTTTGTTAAAGAAGAGTAATATTCATCTTTTTTTAATTAAAAATAAAAATATTATGTTTAATGACGTTATTGTAAACACTGAAAAGACCAAAAAAATTATAAAGAGCTCAAATGCTAAGTCTTTCTAGAGATTATTGTGAATTAGTATTATATTATCTTATGTAATTATCTTGTCATTTAAATTGTAAACCTCAAATCTCTCTATATGAATTTTTTATATATATTTTCATTTTTTCTTGGAAAAAAGACAACTAAAGAGAGCCTAAATTGTTCATTAAAGACTGGACATTTTAAAAATCAAGAAAGAAAGTTATTTAATAGAAAAAAATAAAAAATAAAAAAAATAATCCTAAAAAATCTAATAAGTAAGAGTTTGCAAATGGTCGATTTAATGTTAAAATTTTAAAAATAAAAAGAATTGAACTTACTTTACAAAAAAAAATTGAATCCAATTGAACTACTATACTTAATCAAATTGATCGAAAATTGAGCTATTTCGATTGATCTCACTGCAACAAAATTTATACAATATTTTACTAGATTTTAAAATATTATATATATAATTTCAACATGTTTAAATAAATTCAAAAATCACTAACAATCCAAAATTATTATTAAATAAAGTGAAAAAAAAACCCGTTACTATATACATCTAAAAATATATTGAATTTTAATTTGATATGATCGATTAAGAATTTTCTCAACCAAAAATCGAATTAAACACCTCAAAAACCTTCTAATCGAAGAAAATAAAATTCAAACTCATTTCGATTTATTAATTTTTTTGATTCGGAATGATTTTGCTCACCCTACAAACAAAATCTAAGCAAACAACACTTAGCTAAGAAGTGTAACTTATTTGACTATATTAATTGCTTTCACTACCAAACGTTAAAAAAAAAAAACACTAAAACTAACGTAAATATTTTAATTAAATAGTAACACAAAAATAACAGCTAGGAACGATTTTGCTCCCGGATTTTCCCCTTTAGACTCGGGACTTTTCCATTTTCCCATGTTTCCACTTTGCTTTTGTCACACATAAACCAAAAAAAAAAAAAAAACAAAAGAAAACCCCATGTTTCTTTTGTTGATTATTTTGATGAATATCATTCCAGAAAGAGTTCATTGTTTAGTGTAACGTCGAAACTGTTTGTTTCTGTCTTTCCTTGTGTGTCTTTTTCATGGTGACAAAGGAAACGTTTGGTTTTTAAAGTGAAGAAAAACATGGCATGCATCATGAGGCTGGGATCTAAATCTGAAGCCTTTCACCTTGATGGCCAAACCTGGTTTGTTTTTCTTAATTTGTTTGTTTCCTTCTTGCTTTTGCTGTTTCTATGTTATAAAAAGATATGGGTGTTTTCATTTTGATATGAGCATGTTAAGATATGATGAATTTAGAACATGGGTTATGATGACCATTGTTACTTGAGTTGCACGTAACTTTCTTTCAAACCCCAACACCTTCTTATAAGTTAGAAATGGAGTTTTGGCCTTTAGGCGTCGTCCCAATGAGAAATTAAATTTGGGATACGAGAGGGCAATTGTTGTTTCACTTTGGAAGTCAAAAGAAAGGAAGATGAGAGCATTTGAAGGGAAGATATTGGAATCAAAGGTGTTCTCTTTTAGCATGGTTCTTTATACAAAATAACTGAAGATAGAAAATGGCCATTTCTAAAGATAATTATGATTGTTGAAAAAATGTGTGTTAAGCTAAATCCTCATTATTGGATGCTGGTCTACCTATGTGTTTGCTAAGTGACTTCTTCTAAGCTCTAAATCTTTCTTCCTGCCATTAATTTCATTATTGAATTGGCAGCTTATTTCTTCAATAGTTGGATCTCCAATTTGTCTTATGCGCATGTCATAACTATATGTTCTCTTTTCTTCTCTTCCAGGTTGTGTTCAACTGGTCTTTCAAGCGATGTCATTGTTGAAGTAGGGGAAATGTCCTTCCATCTTCACAAGGTGCTTTTAACTTTGTCATCCATTTGTCACATTTATATCTCCAGAGTGTAAACATCATGCCTTGTAAGGAATCAGTATAAAGTCATGCAGCTTTATCTCAGTAGTGAGGACTTTTTAAAATGTACATATGATTGTTGGAGGTTTTATTTGGGGTATATACTTGGTAAAAGTTGGCTCTTTCTCATCACAGAAACAAGAACTACTTTTATTTTTTTTGGCTCTAATGTTAAGTGTTAGGAGAACTGATAAACTCATTTTGGAAAAATGAACTTTGATTGATTAAAAAATTGTAGCATTCATATATATAAGTTGCATAGTTTGTCTTATTAATTCATCAAAATATTGAGAGTAAGTTCAGTTTATAGTTTCTTACCGATTACCTCGTAGGATACTTTCTGGTATGACTGGTAAATGAAACCAGTTTTGGGATGATTAGTAGATTCTTATTGTTGTACAAGAATGCTTCCTATTTTGTTTCATTGAAGATATTGTCAATAGAATGCCTTATTCCCTCAGCCTTCCTGGTTGCTTCTTATTAATTTCTTTTTGGCATTGTACCATAAAAAGAGAAACATTTGTGCTTACCTGCTTTTTAGAATTATTGTAGACATTTTTGTTAATAGCAGAACTGTGGTAGACATTAATGTGTCTGTTTTAATAGTTCATATTTGAATGTCTTTTTCCTTTTAAATTTACTGATCAGACTGTATATTCCCTTTCCCCATCTTGTCATGTTTATCAGTTTCCGTTGCTGTCCAGAAGCAGAGTGATGGAGAATCTTATTAAGGACTATTCTGCTGAGGATGAGAAAAAGTGTGTTCTGCAATTCCATGACATGCCTGGTGGAGCCAAAACCTTTTTGCTTGTAGCCAAATTCTGCTATGGCATCAGATTCGAACTCACTGCATTAAATATTGTCAGCCTTAGGTGTGCAGCCAAGTATCTTCAAATGAATGAAGATCATGGGGAAGGAAATCTCATAACACAAACAGAAAATTTTCTGAATGAAATCTTCAGTAACTGGACAGACTCAATCAAAGCTCTTGAAACCTGCGAAGAGGTTCTACCATCTGCAGAAGAGCTTCATATTGTTTCACGATGCATAAATTCCTTGGCAATGAAAGCTTGTGCTGATCTGAGTTTGTTCGGTTGGCCTGTGTCAGGAAGTGGTACTGCTGCACAAAGTCCAGAGGACATTGTCTTATGGAATGGAATAAGTGCAGCAGTCAAACCACCACCAGTGAGTGAAGATTGGTGGTATGAGGATGTGTCCGTCCTTAGATTATCTCTGTATAAAAGGTTGATTCTAGCTGTTGAATCAAGTGGCATAAAGCCAGAGAGGATTGCTGGTTCCCTTGTCCACTATGCGAAGAAGCATCTTCCTTTGTTGGGTAGGCAGTCGAGCTTCCAGAATTGGGACCATGCTGCCCCTGGATCAACTGTGTCTGGCCTATCCGATGCGGATCAAAGGAATCTCCTTGAAGAAATAGTGGCATTAATACCTAATCAATCAGGTGCCACCACAATAAATTTTTTGTTGAGACTTCTACGAACATCGATGATTTTACATGCTAGTTTGTCATGTCAAGAGAAGTTAGAGAAGCAGATTGGGGCTCAGTTGGATCAAGCAGCTTTGGAAGATCTTCTGATACCAAATATGGGGTACTCAGTGGAGACCCTTTATGACATTGACTGTGTTCAGCGGATTCTTGATCACTTTGTTCTGGTAGATAATGAGGCAGTTGACTCTGGTTCTAATTATATAGTTGATGAGGGGCAGCTTATGGGAGGTTCCCATCCAATGACCCCAATGACATTGGTAGCTAACCTGGTGGATGGATATCTGGCTGAGGTGGCACCTGATGTTAACCTGAAATTGCCAAAATTTCAGTCACTGGCAGCTATTATTCCTGACTATGCCAGACCCTTAGATGATGGAATTTACCGTGCAATTGACATATACCTTAAGGTAAGATTCTTCACGGTACTTGGTTGATTCCCAAAACAGATCGTTCATTTGGATCACCAGATTTGAAAACTATGATTATGCATTCATACCAAGAATTTGCCTGTGGCATTTCCACATCATTTCTGACAGTTTTTTTGCATTGCAAAGGTAAATGACTGCTTATTGTTCTACTTTAAATCTCAATTAACATTTGATATTATTCTAGAGTATAATAGAGATAGAGGTGAATTATGTGCACAAATTTTCAAAAGGATTATAGAAATTTGTCATTTCTTTTATCTACCAGTGAAATTGAAATTTTTTTAAACTTATATGAAACATCCGTGGATTGTTCAAACTGCTGTCAGTAAGATTTGCAGTTGGGGATCATATTGAGGAATATTAGCTTTAGTGCCCCCAAATATGAATTCTCTTGGCATGTTTCTTCTGTTCTTTTATCTTTGAAAGTTTTGATTTTTGAAGAAGAAATGGAGGTGAACATGCTATCCATTGGCACTGAATATTTGTCTTCTGATCTCAAATGGTTTTGTTTATTTAACAGATATATGTTACTGCCAATTCCATGAACGAATCATCACCTACATAATAATCTTGATATTGCCATTACACTTTCCTCATCCTCAAGATTAAAAGAATGGAACAAAGTTTTCAGTTGCCATTAAAAGTAATTTTCTTTCTCTTGTTTTTTCAAAAAGATGCTTCCAAGTGCATGTTAGGCTAGTCCTTCCACCCTCCTTGCTAAGTACTTAATACTGTGTTTCTCAACTTCAGGCACATCCCTGGCTGACAGACTCTGAGAGGGAACAAATATGCCGCCTCATGAACTGCCAGAAGCTCTCATTGGAAGCCAGCACTCATGCAACCCAGAATGAGAGGCTACCTCTCCGAGTCATTGTCCAAGTTCTATTCTTTGAACAACTTCGGCTCCGCACATCAATTGCTGGTTGGTTCTTTGTCTCTGACAACCTTGAAAACTCACAAAATCCAAGTGGGAATCTTGAGATTCCCAGAAATAATGCGTCTGCACATGTGGGAACTACCCAAGACCACTTTTTGGCAGTTGATGATATAATGGAGCGGGTTTCCGAGCTTGAGAAAGAGTGCTTGAGCATGAAAGAAGAACTTGAAAAGCTGGTTAAAACAAAGGGTGGTTGGAACATTTTCTTGAAAAAATTTAGTTTTAAATCGAAGTCTAAGTCCTGTGATCCGAAAACAGCAAAGCCTTCTGATTCAAAAAAATCAAGGGCCTATGATTCCAACACATCAGCAACAGCTTCATTCACCAGTGGAAGAGAAAATCACAAGAAGGGTGAGTACGGCTTACAGGTTTGGAAAGAAAACTAACAAGGGCAAACCTTCTGTTTAGTGTTGTGCTTCACCTCTTTCCTTCTGGATGCTAGTTAGTCATTAGTCATTCGTTAGTTTGTAGTTGCTGTAATTATGTTTAGACATCTTTAGATCATGATAGGTTCTCAGTAATTCTTAACCATTAAAGCTGTCATTGTCTTTTCTTCGGTACTGATATTTGGCACCTTATGGAGCTCCTATTTCTGAAGCTTATTTTCCCCCTATTTGCCCCAGTCAAAAGTTTTCTTCCCCTTTGTTCGTTGCCTATGTTGAGTTGGTGCTTAAATACCAGTATAGTTTAGAGGGTTGCGGAGATGAAATATTTGAGCTATATGATTTAAACTCTAGATCAGATCTTAAGCACTGGCAATTTGTGCAATTTAGTGAGGCTATGGAAGGAGTTCTTGTCTTGATTTCTTTAAAAAATGATGAGATTCAATTATCTCAGGTAATAACATAGTTGCAGCCATTCTATCCATGAACAAATGGGCCTGCTGCCACCATTCCACATCTTCTTGAATAAAGAGTCAGGACCTGATCCCTTAATCTACAATAACCTGTTTTTAACTTCTCAAACTTTCAATTGTAACAGTAACCTCTTCAACAGCAGATCAGTTCTATAGATTTTGAAGTTAACATCAACAAATAAAAAGTTAATTACACAATTAATATCCATCACAAAATGTCATTTCATACCTAAAGTTTAAACATTCACAATTAAATACTCAAATTTCACACGACACAAAAAAAATTAATAAGAATGCACCACATGTTCAATTCTTATTGGTTGTTTATGCAATTGCTTATGAAAAGGTATCAAATTGAGTATTTCACTATAATTCAAGTCCTAAGTGTATAATTAAAAAAGAGTGCAAAATGTATAATTAGTTCATTACAAACGCACAACATTGTGCTACAACTGCAAAAGATGCAGCAGGGACAAAAACTTCGGTGGGAAAAAAAGGATTGGGAAAGATCAAGAAAAGAGCACAATCAAATGCATCCCTTGGCATACTTCAAAAAAGAAATCACGTTGCATTCGCAGTCGGGAATAGGATCCAGCACTTATTGCAATATCTGAATGTTTAGTATAAATATGAAGATAACAAAGTTCTAACATTTATCAGATGCAAGGGATTTGGTACTCGGTCCAATGCTTCCCATTTCTATATAATAACTCATTTAAGCAGAAAGCAAAAAAGTAGTAAGAATCTATGCTCGCCAACTAATTAAAGTTCTGGTTACTATCACTAAGCACCATTTCACAAAAAACATGTCATCTCAAAAGCCTTCCCCACCCATTCTATCCTGCATCTCAGCTTTCCTCTCCTCTTTCAGCTTCTCCACAATTTTCAATGTATCAGGATCAAAGAAACGATCACGCACAAACTTTTTCTCCTCCGCCTGTATCTGCTTGATAATACTAGCATATGGGTTGGGTGGAGGTTTCTTTCCTTGAAGACGGGCAATTTGTTTCAATCGAGCATATGCCTTCTTCTTCTCCTTTTTCTCCGTCGAATATTCCATCTAAAGGTGATACCAATGGTTAAAGAACTGTGGATAAAACAGAAGAAAGCAACTTTTTCTAGGTTGAGATCCCCTCCATTTTTTTTTTTTTGACCAACACCATCAAATACACCTATTATCAACATCCATGTTTATAGAATGCACCATGAATTATAAGTTCATGGCATATGAATGGGAATGATAAGCCTATTAGGTACTATCGGTCAAAAAGTAAAGAAGGGGAACCAGACCCCTTTTTCTCCACTTCTCTTTGCTCAACAACCATCAAAGAATGGATTGGCAATTTAGAAACAGAAAAAACAAAGAGAGAGCATAAGAAGTCTTGAATCATGAGCTTAAGAATGTAAGAAACATACATCAGCTACAGCCATCGCTTCCTCCTCGCTGACTCCCTGCTCTTTCAACTCAAGCACCCGCAAACCGAATAGACGGGCTGGAGGTGGATCAAAACCAGATATTCTGCAAAGGAAACGAAAAATAAATTAATCCACTCATCACTGGTGTCTACTATGAAACCAAAGCAAGAGATTATTCAATGAAAGTAAAAAAAAAAAAAACAAGGAACAATTACGAGAAGCAAAAACATAGAGATTATGTTATTCTCAGAAATATCTGCTTGGATGTCAATCGACAGGATCCACTTCTACGAGACATATAAAACAACCGAACTTCCTACATGAGGAATATTTACTCAGTAGATCCATATAAAGAAACACCAAGAAGTTCTCGTCTAATTGTATCATGCTCCCAAACAAACCCAAACTTACATAGTTTCTTCATTTGGTAATAAACGAGCTCTCAAATTCCAGTCATTTTCAAATTTCAATATGCAAGCAAATAGTTTTATCTGAACACATTTGCAAACGCGAAACCCTTCAAACCAAAATGCAAATTTAGTTCCAAATTGAAGGGGTTTATCTGACTCAACTCTTTGCATAAGATCATATTCCAACTATTTGATATTGGCATAGTATACAGTTAGCATCTAGAAGACCAAACTCAAAATGCTTGCTTTTGTTTCTGATGTCTAAAGGCTTAAATGAAATACCAAAATTTCATTATTAACACAGTGATAATGAAAACCAATTTCACTCCGAGAGGGCATATCTAATGAGCTTTTTGCATATCTAATGGGTTTCATACCATAATAAACACAAAAATGAATAATGAAAGAAACAGCATATATAGCAAAATAATACTTGATGGCATCTTGATGCTTTGACTCTGGATATTTCTGGAAGAATTTTCTTATGTACACATCTTCTGGGAGAATGATCCTCTTAACTTTTCCATCAGCACGAGGAAAGGTTGCAGGTGGCGCCCTGTATGACATGACCAAAAACACAAGTATATTAAGTATCATTCACAAATTAACACAGCTAACATCTACACGGACAAATGCTAAAGACAAGCATAAACCAAAAGTATAGGCATCATAATCAAAACTATAGAGCTTCACATACAAGCCATAACAAAAACTTTCATCGACAAAATGAAGTCTCTTGATCATATTTTACATATTACAAATTACAAACTCACCCCTTGATTGACAAGAATAATTTCTCTTCAAACAAATAAGTCATCAGATCAATTTTTTTTTTCTTTTTCTGGAATTGCAGACTAGCAAGGGACATAACCGTAAAAAAGAGAACCCGAAAATGAACAAGTAGAGTCACTATTCTCAAGCTACGAAGAGACCAAAAGTTTCTTGGTTCTGCTTCTCAAGGAAAACACAATATAATCAATCCAAATTGTTACATTTTCTTCTTTAATACAATCTGGGCCATTTCGATTACTCCATTTTCATTACCCAAATAAAAAGTTAACTTCTTTGAACGCTTCAAAAGAAACCCAGTTTTTCGAATCCTAAAAGAAGGGTTTTGATTGCAATAAAGTTATAAAACGAATACTGAGCTTAAACCCAATAAAATGAGAAGGGAAAAAGGTGGAAAAGAGAGAGCGAGAAAGAAAGAGACAAACTGTTCCATGGCTTTGAGCCAAGCAGGCTCAGGTTTGGCTAAACCTTTGACGAGTTTCCTTGCTTTCGTTAACAAATCTCCTTTCATGAACGACATGTCTGCGTTCCCTTCGCTGGCTTTGCTTTGCTTTGCTCGTCTTGTAGATTTCTTCTCAGTTCACAAATATGGCTAAGGAAAAGTTGCTCGACAAAGCAGTTTCCCCAAGCGACGTCGTTTATTTGGGTTTTAGGCTTTTAGCTGCTAGGCTTGGGCTTTTCTGCAACGTTTTTTCATTTTTTCTTTTACTTGGGCTGATACCTTGTAAAAGGGCTGGAGTTGCTGGTGGCAGCCCATTCTTCCTCATCTTCTTGTTCTTCTTCCTCTCTCAATTGAAACCTTTCAAGCTTCGATTTTCCTTTTACCGTCTCTTGAAACCCAAATTTTTATCAATAAAATCCAAGCAGATTGCGGAAGCTCTTTACAGCATTCCCATATCAAGAAGGTATTTAGACAAATTCCTATACTTTTTTTTTCTTGCAATTTTATTTATATTGCAACGTTCAAATTTTTGCCTTTCCCCCCCTTGAAAACGCAATATTTAGCAATCAATTTGGCTTTTTCCCCCTTTTGAATGTGTTTATGAGTTGAGAAATGTGAAAAATAAGCAATACTCGGTAAACAAAACATTGAATTTATTTATTATATTTAAAGGGTATATTTAAAAGTTCTTTGTTCTATTTTTGTTCTTAAGAAAAATGAAATTTTTAGTATTCAATTTGGGTTTTTGATGTGTTGATGAGATGAGAAACACGAAAATAAGAAATACCCATATAGCGAAACATGTTGAGTATATACTTAGAATGTGAATAAGGGTAAATTGAGGTTAGTTGAATCAAAGAAATTGATTTTTACTGTTTGGTTGTTGTTGGAAAAGAAGAAGGAAACATTTGGTATAGCAATATTGGAGAAATCTTGCGAATGATTTTTAACTTAAAATTTGCTTTTCTAATGGGTAAAGGAGGTTACATTGGAATCTATTCTTATGATTTCAAGACCAAAACTTGTAAGCAGTTTTTTTTTTTTTAAGTTGAGAAAGCAATGGGCTCAACTCAAGTCTTCATCCCAATCTGTTCCAGTTGGAGTTTGTTTCTATTTATAAGGTGATGGTGCTTGTTGTTTAATTTACATTGACATTAATGCATTTGAAGTGAAGTTGAAATCTGAAAAAGCTTGGCATATTGCGGTAGATGTCAATGTTAATGGGCGCAGGTAGGTGAGGAGTTAGATGGATTTTTTGTATGTTTTCCTTGAATAATCACTTATCTATACAAATGACAACAAGCAAAAAGGTTTTAGCTTTCTGGGGTTTATTTTATGGAAGTCACAATGAATATTGCATCTTTAATAAATGCCCATTTTTCTGGTTTACATTATTTTGAGTCCATTTTGGCTATCTGAATTGAATTTGGCAAGTTAAAGTTGCATGACTTCTCTCAGAATTGATGCTTTGATACAGGTTGTTTCATGATTTGCAAAAATGACATCCATTGAGGGAAAGATGGGTCAGCCTCAAAAAACTAGTAATCTGACTGCTAACACTGCCAAGGTTCAGAGTTCAACTTCATCCTTTAGAAGGTGGGGTAGGAAGTATCCGTTTATCAGATATGGGCTTCCAATGATTTCGTTAACTGTGTTTGGGGCAGTCGGCCTTGGTCATCTCTTGCAAGGCAGGTTAGTTTTCGTCCTTGGATCTCTATTGATTGCCTAATTGCAAATAGATTTTGGGAATCACTTCTGCAGATGAGACTTTTTGTTTCATCTGGGAGTTGATATATCCAGAGTGAAAACAGAAAATGATAATTTTTTGTTGTTGATCTGATCTGAAAGCTTTATTAGTATTTGTAATGTAACAATTTTAAGCTCTATTATAAGATTATTGATAGGAAAATATTTTTTCTTTTGCATCTTTTGTTTGTAGTTCATTTTTGGATTGCTAGGAAGGCTTTCCACAGTTAAGCAATGGTGTTAGTTCCAAGGATGGCATTTGTGCTTAACTTGTAAAGTTAGCTAAAAATTTCAGATCATCATATGTTTGGAATTGGAACATGTTTCATATTTGGAATGGAGATGGATACTTCTCAATACCCTTTGTTTGCACTCAGCCTAAGACAAATACTATTCTTTGTTAAGGCTGCCTATCTTGGCAAGGTTTTAAGGCATGATAAGTTCCAAATTCACTCTACCTTAGGTAATGGATAAAATTTACCACCCATCTTTGAACCAACGTGATTTTACTATCTTACTTTTTAATTTGATTCAACAATGGTCAAAAGGTAGAATATTCTAAAGAATTTATCCTTATATCCTCGCAAAATATTGTTTTACCATCAACTTTTGACCATTTTTGAACCAAATTTAAAAGTACTATGGTAAAATTACGCCCATTTAAAGATGGGTAGTAAATTTGATTCATCACCCTAAGTAGAGTGAATTTTATTATCAACCAAGTTGACTGATCTAATTCAATTAATAAGTTTATCCACTAATGTTTGAATTACTGCTCAACTTATGTGTATCTTGACTTTACTTGAGGACCATCTCTAAGCATTCTCCACCAATGCTATACCAGAGAATTTCCAATTATTATTTGATTTTTTTATAGGAATATCTTTTTCATAATGACTGTTGCAACACCTCTAGTCTGTATTCAAAGTTATTACCATTAGTTTGCTGCGGCAATTCCTCTTCTAATGTAATGGGACTTTGTAGTTCAGCAAGGATATTGCGAAGGTGAAAGATGATCAAGAATGGGAAATTATTGAGACCAGGAAAGCACTATCAAGAACAGGGCCCATCAATGCATATGACCCAAAAAAGATTTCATTGGAGGAAGAATTAAAGGTATGGTCGTTTTATCTGCAACCTCAAATTGATAGGAATTCATAGCTTACTTGCCGTTTATTCTGTTTTCTAGGCTTTGCAAGTGAAGGTTGATATAAACAACTATGACTACAAAAGAATTCCTAAGCCAAATGAAGGCAAGTCAGGATAGGTTTGAGTGCTTTATCCAAAAGCTTAATTTTGTAGCTGTAATAAACATATTAGTATTTGGTGGAAAATCTAAGCATTTATGGTTTCACTACATCTTGATAAATACTTTGTGTAATTTAGTCTGCTTAGAATCTGCCTACGCATGCTGCTTTTAATTGTTGCAAAATCTGCATACCGTTTTGATAGATAGGCTGATATATGTAACTAATGATATGTTATTCCCTTTGAGAATTTATAAATTAGCCAAAGTTTGTTGCATGTCATAGATCCATATTAATGAGACATAAGATGGGTTTTTTGAGTTTATGACTTACCACAACTGATGGAAATTGATCAATGTTTTCTAGGATTTTTGATGCAAAAGAACATCTTCTCCCAAGCTTTGAATATTTTCTGTTTCTGGGTTTTGGTTTAAAATGGACGAAGACGATGATGAAGATAAGACTGCAAATGAATGAATCAAGCAATCTGTATAGTGTTATAAGATGGGATATCTTTTTTGAAATCTATTGGACTTAAATTGAATTATAACAATACCTTAAAAGCTTGGGTATATTTTACCCTAATCTACATTCCATGAATTCCTTGCAAGATGCACTAGTTTAGGATATGGCCTCACCTTACGTATGCATACATGTAACCAAGATGTCAAAGGGGAAGTGGGGGTCTTGGTAGGAAGATAACAAGACAAGAGCTGGTGAACAGATCACAACAGTAGAGAAAACAGAAGTTAGAAGTGAAAGGTAATGATAAGCACATCATTACCATGACTCCCAAGGGTCCATAAGGTCCTTCCGCGGTTGACCTTCTGATTTTAACCACAAACATGCAACAAAAAATAAAGGTGCTCTTGGACCAAGTGAGATGCTGATGAGTAGACAGTTTCAGACCATGTTCAGTTCTTAGTATTCTTTGGTGAATACATCATAACTTGGCATAAATCTTATTCACCAAACTGCAGTTCAAAGGGCCAAGGCCTGAATCAACTTCCTACAATCTTGGATCCTTGCATTAATCATAAAAATACTTGCTAAAATTGTGCGGTTGCTCCGAGGGAGAGAGGGAGAGATAATGTAGTGACTTGGCAAAAGAGATAATATAAAACTTTATAAAAAGAATAGAAGCAGGTAATCATATATCAGGTGAAGTGCTCACCCAAATCATTTCCACAATTACAAACATATACCCAGTTTCTCCCACAGAGAAAAGCCATTTCTCTTTATGTACACCTCCAACAACAACACAAACAAAAATACAAAATGGTGTAAACCCTAGCTACCCCTCTCTTTTCTACTCCCAAATATATTCTTTTACCTTTTCCCAACTTCTTATTCATTTACACATGTAAGACAGACAAAAATCATAGCCAGAAAGACCCTGTTATCCTTCCACTTTATCACCTCCCAAAACAAAATTTTGCAAAATATAGGGAAAAAAGCTCTGGAAAAACTATTTGAAGATGGTTGCCACAACTTCCAGAATATTACCTTGGCTTTGGTTGCGATGCAAGTGACCATAGTGGTTGGACAAGCCTTTGGGTTGATGGACTACCAAGTAGGGTTGCCTGAGATCGAGTAAGCATCTCAACCATTAATGGGGTTTGATAAGCCTGAATCAGACTTGAACCATCAGTGGAATCACCTCTTGCTGTAGCTCGTTGCCATGAGTGTGAGCTCAGTCCCGAAAGGATATATGCTCTCCCAGATGCCTCATAGACATGCCTGCTTGCCATCCTCTCTTGCATCTCCTTTAGCTCAGCATCCAATGCAATGCAAAGTCGGTCATGAGATTTGGCTGAAACAGTCTCAGACAACACCCTTCTACAATTTTCAAGGATTGAAACAGCACCTGCTAGATCTCCTTGCTCAGCTGTGGTTCTTGCCTCTGCCATTGCCTCTGCTGCTTGGAACCTGTTGCGTTGCCTGTCTACTTCAATTGATACTACTTCCTGCCCAGCTATTTCAGGTCTTTGAATCCTGACTGCATCACTCTCCAAAGTTGTCATTTCTTGAGTTAAGGGATCCCTATAAATGCATTTCACCTTTAGCAGTGATGTGTCGCATCCAGAAGAATCTGCTGGGACTTTAACTGCTACCAAGAAATCCCTCTCTTCATCAGCATAGAGATCTCCAACATCAATAAATCCAGTTCT